TATATTTTGTGTCACACCCCAGCTTGTTGTTGCTTGGTGCTGTCGAGTTGGTGGCCAGGTACGGCAGAAGGAAACGCTGCTCGGTCCTGTGCCATCCTGGCAATTGTTCTTGTGATTAAGACCATTGTTGCAGCGACTGTGTCCGTCCATCTGTTGAAGGCCTTTTTTTCCCACTTCCCTTCTATTTCACCAAGTATGATGTCCTTGTCCAAGGGACTGGCCTTTCCTAATAACATGTCCAAAGTACGTCATAAGGTGAAGTCTCATCCCCACAACCTAGTCCTTTAAATAAATTAATTAATGTGTAACAAACCTGCCAAATATTTCTTCAACGGATACTCAATAGAGAGACAGTTTTAAGTAGCTCCTATGAGTTCACATCAGGATTTTCTGCCCAATAAGTTATTGTTTTCAGAATGGTTGGGATTTCCGAAGGGCATGCTGGCCCAGGAATGATCAGGTCCCATTCAAAGCACGGCCATGGATGGTCTCACCCATTTTCATGATGCTCATGTGAGCTATGTCTCTGGTCTACTCTCATAGAATGGTACAGATTAGTAACCCAGACAATGGAAGGAATGAGGTCACTTTGCAACTTCACAAAATTGGTAAGTGACATAGCTGTCACCCAACCCAGGTCTTTCTGACTCTTAAAGGACTTCTCATCTCATAAGTCCCATATTTGACTCAGGAATGGGGACTTCCATGAACAAAACTCACAAGTGACTGGTGTCTAAATCTTGAATGCCAATGTGCTCAATTGTTATGAGTTGTGAATGACCAACAAGACCAGATACTCTTTTTCTTGGTTGTCTATTGAGCATGTTGTGAGCCCTGGTGGTGTAATGTTATCCATTGGGTTGTTAACCCACAAGGTCAGCAGTTTGAAACCACCAGGCGAAAAATGAGGCTTTCTACTCTGGTAGAAAGATTTACAGTCTTGGAGAAACCCACAGGGGCAGTTCTACCCTGCTTGCAATGGGAAGATAATCATGGGTGGCCTGCTGAACTGAACCTAGGTTGTCACAGTGGTCCTTATCCGAGGGTCACTCGTTGGAGGAGCCAGAGCAACGGTGTCATGACCGAGACAGACTGGAGGGCTGGGTTTTGAAGATGGATGAAGAGCACAAAGCAGGAAAAGGGAAAGGAAATGGACTCTCTCCGTTCAGCCCTGCTGTCACCTTGACTACCTCCCAGTGAAAGTGGCTTTGGTCTTCTAACTCTCAAACTGTGTTGTTAATAAGTGCCATTGAGTCGGTTCTGACCCACAGTGACCCTGTGCACAACAGAACAAAACACCATCTGGTCTTGTGCCATCCTCACAATTGTTATGTGTCCTTGAGGGCCTTCTTTTTTGCTGGCCCTCCACTTTACCAAGTCCTTCAACAGGGACTCATCTCTCCTGACAACATGTATGTAAGTCTATAAGAAGAAGGCTCGCCAGCCTTGCGTCTAAGGAGCACTCGGGCCATGCTTCTATGACAGACTTGCACATGGTACTTTAAATATTCTTCTCCAGCAGCACAATTTAAATGCATTGATTCTTCTCCAGTCTTTTTTATTTAAATTTCCAAAATTTTTTTGTTTCTTTTTTTTAATTTAGATTTTTTTAAATCGTATCATTAGGGGCTCATACAACTCTTATCACAATCCATACATACATCAATTGTGTAAAGCACATTTGTACATTCATTGTCCTCATCATCCTCAAAACATTTCCTCTTCATGTAAGCCCCCGGCATTAGGCCCTCATTTTTCCCCTCGCTCCCCCCTCCCTCATGAGCCCTTGATAGTTTATAAATTGGTATTTTGTCATATCTTGCCCTGTCCGACGTCGCCCTTCATTCACTTTTCGGTTGTCTGTCCCCCAGGGAGGAGGTCACATATAGTTCCATGTAATCGGTTCCCTCTTTCCAACCCACCTGTCCTTCACCCTCCCAGTATCGCCACTCAGACCACTGGTCCTAAAGGGGTCATCTGCCCCGGATTCCCTGTGTTTCCAGTTCCTATCTGTATCAGTGTACACCCTCTGGTCTAGCCAGACTTGCAATGTAGAATTCGGATCATGATAGTGGGGTTGGGGAGGAAGCATTTAGGAACTAGAGGAAAGTTGTATTTTTCATCGTTGCTACATCACACCTTGACTGGCTCGTCTCCTCCCCGAGACCCCTCTGCAAGGGGATCTCCAGTGGCCTACAAATGGGCTTTGGGTCTCCACTCTGCACTCCCCACTCATTCACTATGGTAAAATTTTTTGTTCTCATGCCTAAATGTCTAAATTTTGCAGGCATCTGAAGTGATTGAAAATACCACAGCTTGTGTTAGGCACTCTTTAGTCCTCAAAATAACATCCTTGCTTTTCAACACTCTCGAGGTTGGTCTTGTGATTTACCCAATGAAAGGCAATTTTTGATCTTTGGACTGATGCTTCCATGAGCATTGATTGTGGATCCAAGCAAGCAAAATCCTTAATAACGTCAATCTTTTTTCCATTTATCATGATGTTCTTACCTATTGGTCCAATTCTGAGGATTCTGGTCTTTGCAATGAGTTGCTATTCATACTGAAGGCTGCAATCCTTGATCTTCCACCAGCAAGTGTTCCAAGTTCTCACTTTCAGCAAGTAAGGTTGCGTCATGTGCATAGCTCTCTGGTGGTTATCCAGAATTGTAGGAGGATATATTTGTGTTGTCTTAAGCTAGTGGGTTTGAGGGAATTTGTTACTGTAGTCATAGATAATAAATACACTCACCAATGGTTACAGATTACTCAGTATCCACATTCAATCTCTGCCGAACCTTACCCTCATTTTGGGGAATGATTCTCCCTGTCCATGAAGTAGAGGTGCATGTCCTAAAGTTTAGTGTGTGCCCCCACTAGAGAAGCTGAGGGGGTCCTTCTGCAATATGACTCCACTCTCAACTAGAGGGGCCTTGAACTCCTATGCAAATGGAGCAGAGAAAGTAGCATTTGTGGTGAGATGGCATAGTGCTGACTTCAACTTGCACTTCCCATTTGGCTTTGGGCAAGTTCCCTCATCTTACTGAGCCTTTGTTTCCCTATCTGTTAAATGGGCACAAGAAGAATACCAATCTCATGCAGTTTTGCCACGCTGGACACCAGATCTGTGTTGGATTCCCTCCAATGTTAGATAAGCCGCCAAAGGGAAGAGTTCTTTGTTGTTTGAAACTAGCTTGTGTGTCACAAAAGAATTTAAGTAAAAAAAAAAAAGAGAATTTAAATCAGTATCCATTTTCCTTTTTCTCCTTTTATAACCACTCTTACCAGTGTTTAGATCTGATGAGTAAGGAATGGGGTTTTAAGGCTGTAACCCTTTCTCTTTTAGATTAATATTATTGATTCATTTGATTTCAATTTTTTGTGGAGTAAAGGATATACAGAGAAAACATACTATACATGTACATATGCACCGCACAGTCCATTTCTCCAAAATAGTCTCCTATTAAATCCCCATGTATATGGTTCTGTTTTCTCACTTTTCTCATTCCCTCCACTCCTTCCGTACTGCTTTCTCCTTTCCCTCGCTCCTCACTGCCCCTGGCCTTTTTGTAGTCTTCAAAGTAATTTTCTTTGGTGGGAAAACCATTTTTATTTTCCTTCTTCCTTTACACTAATGGTGTCATAGAATCTTTATCTTTATGAGTTGACTAACTTAACTGAGCATAATGTCTTCCAATTTTGCCCAGGCCATGAAAGTGTTTGACATACTTGTCATTGTCTTTCAGGGATCCATAATCTATTATGTATATGTACCAGAGTTTATCCAATTCTCTATAGTCGGGGTTTTGATTGTTTCCACCTTTTGTTCTAGAAATTGCCACAATAAACATGGGTGTTCATATGTTTCTTTGTGCCTTGTTTTTTCTTTTTGTGTGTGTGCTTTATTTCTTACCAAGTAGAGAGATTGCAGGATCATAAGGTATTTATATTTGCATTTGTTTAAGGAAGTATACTGTTTTCCAAAATGGTTCTACAGTTGTGCAATCCCACTAGCAATGTATGAGCCCTCTAGTCTCACATACTCTCCAGATTTTATTAATATTTTTAATATTTCTAAGATTGTTGTGAGGTGGTATCTTGTTATTGTTTTAATGTATTGTGTTAGTCTGGATAGACTAGAG